GCGCCTCCGGGCGGCTCCTCACTCCTCCCAGTTCCCCCCGACAGAGGCTCGTTTGCAGACGCTTCACATGGACGTGTGGGGCCCAGCCCCCGTCCGTGGGCAGGGTCACGAGCGCTACTTCTTGTTGGCTGTTGACGACTACTCGCGTTACACCACCGTCCTCCCCTTGAGCAGCAAGGGTGCTGTCACTGAGGTGCTGATCGACTGGATCCGCGAGGCTCGTCTCCAGCTCAGGAGGAGCTTCGGCTCGGACTTTCTTGTTCTGCGTCTGCACTCGGACAGAGGCGGGGAGTTCTCCTCTGGCCTTCTGCGAGACTACTGTCGTGCACGGGGGATCCGCCAGACCTTCACGCTTCCGGACTCTCCACAGCAAAATGGGATTGCTGAGCGCCGCATTGGCATGGTCATGGATGTCGCTCGTACGTCCATGATGCATGCGGCTGCCCCCCATTTTCTGTGGCCGTTTGCGGTGAGGTACGCGGCGCATCAGCTTAACCTTCACCCCAGGGTCTCTTGGCCCGCGATGTCCCAAGTGTTACTGTGGACGGGGAAGGTCGGCGATTCGTCTGCGTTTCGTGTCTGGGGATCTCGGGCGTTTGTCCGCGACTTGTCTGCGGACAAGCTGTCCCCTCGTGCTGCTCCTTGTGTCTTCCTTGGCTTCCCCCCTGACGCTCTAGGGTGGCAGTTCTACCACCCCTCCTCTCGTTGTGTTCTGTCCTCCCAGGACGTCACGTTCGACGAGTCAGTCCCCTTCTACCACCTCTTCCCCTACCGCACTCCTTCCCTTCCCCCACCACCGGACTTCCTTGTGCCGGTTCCCCCCCCGGTAGACCCCCCCCCCCCTCAGGTTCCTGCCCCCTCAGGTGTGTCCCAGGTAGACGCAGTTGACCCGGTCAAGGTTACTGGGGACTCTGGTGCTGTGCGCGGGGGTGCCGAGCCTGGGGGTGCTACTGTGGAGGGTGTTGAGCCTGGGAGTGCTGAGCCGGGGGGTGCTGTGCCTGGAGCTGCTGAGCTAGGGGGTGCTGAGTCTGGAGCTACTGGGCCTGGGGCTGCTGCGTCTGGGGCTGCTGAGCCTGGGGTTTCTCCTAGTGCTGCGTCTCGGCGGGAGCCCCTCTCTCCACAGAAGCTGTGCGAGTGGTTTGCTCGCCGCTGGAGGCGTGCTGCTTGAGCTGGAGCTTCTTCGACCGTTGAGGGTGCTGGTGCCGCCAGTCCCGGAGCTGCTGGGCCTGCGGGTCCTACTGGAGCTGGGGCTGCTGAGGGTGTTGGTGCTGAGACTACTGCTGTCTGTCCTCGCGGTGGTTCTCCTGCTGGTGCTGCTGGAGGTCCAGCCGCTGGAGGTGTTGGTGGCGCTGGTGCTGCCGCTGAGGGTGCTGGTGCTGTCCCTACTGAGTCTGGAGCTGCCGCGTGGCCTTGACCGTACTTCGTTCCGCTCCTGCAGCAGGTTCTTGGTCTTTCTCCTCCGGTAGAGTGTCCAGAGCCTGTCCAGTCGAAGTCACAGTTACCGCTAGCCTCTCCACTGCCTGCTCCCTCTCCTTACACTGGTCCTACTGGAGGTCTTGCTGAGCGTCGTGAGCCTGCGTCTCGTCCCGCGTCGCCTGTTCGTGCTGCTTTCACTAGTGGTCGCGGTTCGCGTCAGCGTCCTCCTCCTGTCCCTGGCACGCACCGGATGTCTCTGCGTTCGTCCACTGCTCCTCTGCGTGCCCCTTTGCCTTCTCCTCCTGAGTCCTCTCTTCCTGCGCTTGCCGACCCTGTGTCGGACTCCCTTCGTGCTGCCAGTCCTACTGTCATGCGTCTGCTTGCTACTGTCGTCACTGACCCCTCGTTTGAGTCCATTGCTGCGTCTGCTCTTGTCGCTGAGCTCGTCGACTTTGCTGCTCGCTGTCGTCTAGACTACGCTGCTAGTCTTGTTGCTGAGTCTGTGTCTGGCTGTCCTCCGTCCGTCGGGGGTGAGTGTGCTCTTGGCACGGACGTCCTAGAGGACAGGCAGGAGGAGCTACAGTGTCTGGCTGCTGCTTCACCTCATCTCGCGTCTGTACTGCTTGCTCCTGAGGGAGACCCGGATGCACCAGACATCCCGACTCCGCGCTCTTACGCGGAGGCCGTAGAGGGTCCCTACTCCTCTCAATGGCAGGCAGCTATGGATGCAGAGATGGCTTCTTGGAAGTCCACAGGCACCTACGTTGACGCGGTTCCCCCTCCTGGGGCGAACATCGTCAGTGGCATGTGAATCTTCAGGGTGAAGCGGCCGCCGGACTCTCCACCTGTCTTCAAGGCGCAGTACGTCGCTCGTGGCTTCAGTCAGCGGCAACGAATTGACTACTTTCAGACCTTCTCTCCCACCCCGAAGATGACCACTCTTCGGGTGCTGCTGCACATAGCCGCTCAGCGCGACTACGAGCTTCACTCTCTCGACTTCAGCACTGCGTTCTTGCAGGGTAGCCTGCACGAGGAGATCTGGCTGCGCTGTCCACCTGGCTTCAGTGGGACTTTCCCTCCTGGCACCCAGTGGAGCCTCCGACGGCCAGTCTACGGTCTCCGCTAGGCACCGCGTCAGTGGCACGACACACTGAGGACTACGCTTGCGGCTCTTGGGTTTGCTCCTTCTACTGCTGACCCGTCGCTGTTTCTGCGCATCGACACCTCACTGCCGCCGTTCTACATCCTCGTGTACGTTGACGACTTGGTCTTTGCCACAGCGGACACTGCTGGACTGGCCAACGTGAAGTCCGAGCTGCTGAAGAGACACACGTGCACTGACCTGGGTGAACTGCGCAGCTACCTTGGCTTGCAGATCACTCCGGACAGAGCACGCCGCACCATTACCTTGACTCAGTCACACATGGTGCAGCAGGTCCTTCAGCGCTTCGGCTTCACGTACTCCTCGCCTCAGGCCACTCCCTGTCTACCTGCCACTCACTCTCAGCTCTGCCTTTGGATGAGTCCGTAGAGTCGAGTGGCCCGTACCCAGAGCTTGTTGGCTGCCTCATGTACCTGATGACCTGCACACGACCTGACCTTGCATAACCTCTGAGCATTCTTGCACGCTTTGTTGCTCCTGAGAGACACCGACCAGAGCACATGGCTGTAGCGAAGAGGGTATTGCGCTACCTGTGTAGTACGTTGGGCATGGGGCTAGTGCTTGGAGGGCGGAGTCCAGTGGTCCTTACAGGTCACGCTGACCCTTCTTGGGCTGATGACCAGGCTACGCAGCGTTCGTCACAGGGTTACACTTTCAGCCTTGGTTCCGGCTCTGTCTCGTGGCAGGCAACTCGTTCGTCTTCGGTTCTCAGCTCCAGCTGTGAGGCTGAGATCTACGCAGGGGCCATGGCTGCACAAGAGCTTCGCTGGCTCACCTACCTGCTGAGTGACCTTGGAGAGCCGCCTCGTTCTCCTCTAGTGCTGTACGTAGACAACAAGGCCATGCTGGCCTTGTGTCGAGAGCAGCGTCTGGAGCACAGAACGAGGCACATTGCTCTTCGCTACTTCCTTGCTCGTGAGCTACAGCAGCGTGGACAGTTGCGGCTTGCGTACGTGGCCTCTGAGGCCAACACTGCTGATGTGTTCACCAAGGCACTTGCGCCTTGTGACCATCAGCACTTCTGCACCGAGCTAGGTCTTGTGCCTGTCTTGCCTCACTTGCTCTCCTCTTGACTTTACTTGTCTAGCTTTATATATATATGTCTGTACTCTTGCATGTGAACTGGCCTTTGGCCTTGCTCTTGTGCTCGGACTGTGTGGTGACTTTGTGATCTGCCCTTAGCTTTGCTTTGCTTTGCTTGACTGGTCTTGTGACCCCTTGTTCTCACCCACTTTGCCTATGGGGGTGTGTCAGAACATATATATAGCTTATACTATTGTGTAGGATGTAGTGGGGTATCCCATAGGGGGTACAACCAGTTAGGGTTTCCTATTTGTACTCACTTCATTCATAGTTCATTCATTCTCCTTCTATTCTAAACACCCGCGAGGTCCTAGTAACCCATCGCGGCCTGCCCGTACGGGCAGGCGAGGTCCATGCGAAAATCGGGGGCTCCCCTCGGGTCGCTCGACTATTTCGCGATCCGTTGCGGTGACGCCACGTGCTTGCCTGTCATTTCGCATCGTATGCATGCAACATTTTGTACTCGCCAAAATTCGAGCGAAAACTGGGCCATTCGCCCCAAGGCGCACGGTTTTCGCGACCCGCTGCGAAAGCGACACGTGGTGCCGAAACGTCGCATCGCGCGCATGCAAAGTTGCGTCCCCTGGCCGAACGATGCCACGGGACGTGACGTCGACCTGTTGGCTCGGCGACAAGGGTGCACTTGTGCCACGCCACTTGTGCATGAGCCCTGCCGAGCCAGGCATCACGACCCCCTGGGCGACGCTCAACCGGGCCTGCGTGGAGGTGGACTGGCCCCTCATTTTCGCGTTCTCGTTTCTCTTTCATTTTTTCTCCAAGCTCTGCGCCTTCCATACTCCCACCGTTTCTTCCCTTAGCTTGTAGCATAGCATCCTCGCTCTCCCGCCTTGGCGGCCGGCCAGAAAGCCGCCGAAGCGGCGCCGACCTCGCTAGATTTCCCCCTGCATCTAGACATCGGTAGAGGACACACGGCCAAGTTCGAAGAGCACGACTACGCCGTTCTGACAAACCCTATGCTAGAGTTTAACGCCCGTTGCTTGGGACTCGGTCTCAAGTGAGTGTCTTATGGAGATGTCGTCGTCGACGGGCCTATTCCATGCTGGTCGGCCCTAGCGGGGTCTCAATGCGTCCAGTAGTTTATGTCGACTGGCTTAGAGTTTAGGTAGATCACATCGGTGACGCCGACGTAATGCGTTAGGTCATTGTCGACGCTGAGTTGTGCCGAAGTCGTTCGGCTCCCGTCATTCCACCGTCGTGCCGCGCACCTATACCTCTCTAACTTGTTGTAACCATGCATGCGTGAAGGCACGCATGGATCCACTCAATGGATGCAAGCGAGCGATTGTGGTCAATAGGAGCCGGCCGGCTTCGGGCGGCGATGGGTCAGGACGACCACACATGCTTTGCGACAGTTTTCGACGCCAACGTGGCGGTTATCCCACTAATATCAAGGTGAGCAGGTTCGAGGTCCTGTTGTGTGCTGCAACCTGTGTCGGTGATTTGTTCTGAGCGCCATCGACGTGCCTTGTCTGTGCAGCATCGCACCGCTTCCGGGAGCACATTGCAGCGTCGTTCTCATCCTGTGCCCCGGCGATTTGTTCAATGCCTCGGGGCAGGAGGTCAGGACCTCGATCCGGCACACCGACCCGCAGATAGTGAAGGAGTGGCACCGCGACGAGGCGATCCGCGTACTGAAGTGAGCTCGATAGTTTAGTCGACATCGCATACATTGTCGACACGGAGCGTGCACCGTGCTAACCAACCGTCCTTGCCGTGCTTTTGCAGGTTTTTCCGGACCGCTTTCTGGCCGAGCTGCGGCGCGAGGGTAGGAAATGGGAGTGGGCGAAGCCGTCCGAAGACGAGGTGCAGGCGAGGCTCGCCGACTGCGACGAACCCTTTCGAGATGTGTGTTCCGGACGATTTGCCGTCATACGGTGTCACATCTACGCCGCCCTAATCCTTGCGCTCTGCACTGTTGTATGCAGAAAGTTCCCGATACCGTCCGGGACTCGGACGCGGGCTCCGGCCTGCTAGCAATGAGCGCGTTGATCTGGGTTGTGAGGCGGTTCCATCTCCTGACCGGCAACCTCCGTCGCATTGCCACTAGGATGGACAAGCCCACTGTCTCGGGGTTGAAGGCGCTGCGGAACGAGATGGTAGCCCTCATCAAGAAGCAAGTCCCGCTCATATGGTCGGGGAAAATCGTTGTTGCTGCCAACGCCTCTGACGAAGACGGCGAGGAAGTCCATTCTGCATCCGTAGTAGTAGGGGTCGCCCCGAACGTCGCTGATGCGCGTGGCAAGTTGGGAGTTGGCGTCGACGAGGCCGATGCGGCCGCAGGAAAGGGGGTGACCGGGACTAAGGTTGTTCACGGGAATGATGATGGGGTCAAGGATCGCGAGGAGGAACGTGAGGGTGAGGGGAGCTCGGAGGAGTCGTCGGGGTCGAGGTCGGGGTCGGGGTCGGGGTCGGGGTCGGAGTCGGAGTCGGAGGAGGAGCAGAAGCAGGAGCAGGAGATGCAGGAGCACGAGAGGCAGCACAAGGAGGAGCAGTTGGTAGTGGTGGAGGACGTGGAAATGGCGGAGGTTTACGTTGTTGGAGGAGCGGAGGAAACGGGTGGGAGATCGGCGGATGTCGAGAACGACGAAGGGGAGGGGAAGGGTGCGACAGCGGATCTCGGCAAGGTCGGCGTGGAGGCGGCTCACGGAGGTGGTGGCATGGTCGAGGTCGGTGAAGGGGATAACGCCGCGCTCTCGAAGCAGAGGGGCGTGGATGTGCATACCGATGCCACCGCGGAGAAGGCCGGGGGGGAGCGGTCTAGGAGGAAGAAGGCGGCGAGCGATCATCCCGGCTCCACCACGGCTGGGCGGCAGGCGCGGCTGGACGTCGTCGATCAGCTGAGAGCGGAGAACAGGCGATTGCGTGCAGACAATGCACGCCTTGAACGGCGGCTCGGTGAGCAGACGGGGCGGGTCGACAGCTTGGCGGCGGCATTAGCTGGGCTCCTCGAGAAGGTGAAGGGTTTGACCGCCCAGGTCGCCGACACCGACCGGAAATCGGAGGAGCGCCTCAAAGAGGCCACGTTGACCATGGTGACCACAATCACCGAGGGCCTCACCGACAACATGGACAGCGCAATTCAATCGGCCAAGTCCTTCGCCGAGCTAGCGAGGCAGATGCTGCTGGATCTTGACGACCCCAAGGGACGAGCAGCGGTCACACGCGCGACCGCGGTGAAGACATTGACCGAGCACGTGACGGCTGAGGTGGGCGAGGCGAGGAAGGGGTTGGAGGAGTCGTTCATCAAATACATCGGCGCCGCGCAGACCAACATTGCCGCCGCCTAGTCCAGCCGCCGCCGCCGACCGCCCCAGCGCAGGCCTTGCCGGAAGATTTCCTGAAGTCTTTCAAGGAGGACGTGCTGAAGGGGGTGACGGAGACCACGCAGCAGTCCTTTCTCGCCTCCAGACTGAAGATAATGACCGAGGTTGTTGGCACAATGGCGACTGCTTGGCGTGGGTCGTCGCCGTCGGCAAACGATGCCGGCCAAGCGCAACCTACGGAGGGCTTGAAGCTGGGTCACAAGAGGGGGGGAGGCGGCGGGGGGGGCGACGGGGACAATTCGGCGAAAACGAAGCGGAGCAAGGGAGGCGGGGGGTCTCGCGTCGCCGGCGACGGGAGCAAGGGGGCCGGAGAAGGAGGCGGCGGAGGGGGGGGGGGGGGGGGGGGGGGGGGAGACGATTCGGCGGGCGCGAGGCGGATCAAGGGAGCGGTTGGTTCTCGCGTCGCCGGCGATGGGAGCATGGGAGCCGGCGACGGCAGTTCGGGGAAGCAGTCAGGGAAGAGCGTGGTCGACATCCTCAGGAAGCACTGGGCTGAGGCTGGAGCGGCCAGCACGGGCCATGGTGGTGGGGGTCCCGCCGACGAGCAGGAAAAGGGGCAGCAGTTGTGGACGCGCTCAAGGAGCAGCTTAGGCTCCTAGCCGGCCACAGGGCTGTTCAACAGCCTCCCTCTGCTGTCGACGTCCCATCGGCCAGTGTGCCACGTGTAGTGCCGGTCGTCGCCGCCCGTACTCCTGCAGACCCAAAGTCCGCGTTGCTGCGCGCCCACCTGGGCGCACTAGCGTTGACTGCGAGGACTCAGCAGGCTTCTGGCTCTGGCGCTAAGCCGTTGTCGGCAAATGTCGCACCACCCACCCATGTGGCAGCTGATGTGGAGAAGGCGGTGGAGAAGGGCGTTCGTGCCGCGCTAGCCACCAGCGGCGGCGCCGTTGAGGAGGTCCCCGCAGACGTTGATATCGCTGCCATACAGGCCCATCTGGATGCAGCCAATCGCCGAACCCTGGCCATCTCCGACACGGCACATGTGGAGCCTTCGGCGGGACTCGTCGGCATCGCGGCAGAGCCTAGTGCGACCGGTGATGCGGTCGGTGAAGGAAAGTCGAAACGGAAGGGGAAGGCGGGCTCATAGAGGAAGACGCGGGAGAAGTCGGAGGTGAAGGCGGCGGATAAACAGAAGGGGACGGCGGCGGAGACGGCGGCGGACAAAGATGGAGGCGGCCTTGCGGAGGTTGAAGGGAAAGGGGAGAATCAGGAGAAGTCGCCCGGCGAGGGTACGTCGACGGGGAGGAAGGGGAAGGACAAGTCGGTCGGAGAAGGTGCGTCGACCGGGAGAAAGGGGAAGGAGAAGGCGGTCGGCGAGGGTTCCTCGAAGGGGAGAAAGGGAAAGAGGAAGGCGGAGGAGGAGGATGATGATGTCGAGGAGGTGGAGGAGGTCAAGCAGGAGGAGGAAGAAGAAGAAGAGGAGGAGGAGGAGGAGGAGGAGGAGGAGGAGGAGGAGGAGGAGGAGGAGGAGGAGGAGGGCAAGGAGAGGAGGGGTCATGGCATCCGACACGATACCTCGGGTGACAAGCAAGGGTGGGTCGGCGAGATTAAGGTGCACGGCATCAATCGATACATCGGCAAGTCGCGGGACAAGATGGAGCTCGCGTACGTTCACTCCATCGCGTACGTCGTCTACGACGGTTTCGTGAGCAAGGTGCTCATGACCGAGCTCACCGGCTTGGACAGCGCCGAATTGGAGAGGTGGAAGGAGGTGTGGGAGGAGGTCAAGATCTTGCCGACAGAGATGTGGACAGTGATGTGGGCCCGGGGTACGCTCCTTCCAAAGACACGGAAAGTTGGCAATCCTCCGATCCAAAGTCGACGTCATTGTCGTTGTCACTAATGTTCGCCCTGTTTGTGGTGGCGTGACAGGTTGACTAAGATCCTCGACGCGTATCGCCATTACAAGTCCACAGGCGATGGTCTCCACGCCGCGCTCTTGCCAGCGATATGGTACCCAGTCGATGCTAGCACCGAGGAAGGCCAGGAGACGTCGGCGATAATAGGCCGCATGTCATTGTGCGCTGCGTATGGGAAGACCGCTGCAGTAGCGGCGAAGAAGGAGGGAGACAAGGAGGAGAAGACGGATATGGTGGCATGGGCGTTAGCAGCATCCGCATGCGCTGTGTAGTGCTTCGTCGAGAACGGCGATGCCCAGCTGGCGGATGCTGTGGAAGAAGGGAAGTCGGCGGCGATCATAGGCGGAGCGAGCCAGGCGACTGCCGATGTATTCGGAAAAGTCATGGAGGCGGTGCTGAACGCCGAGATGAACAGGGACCGCCCCCTGGGAGAGGTTGCTTACAACGTCGCGCCAGCACTCCAGAGGACCGCCCTTCATAGGGTCTATCTGGGGGGGAATGCTGGAGTAGATGCCGACGTTATCGCTAGAGCGACTGTGAGAGGACGTCCCCGTTATAATATTTTCTCACTATTATATTTTTCCGTTATCCTATTCTCCCTTTTCTTCTCTTTATTTTGGTCTTTATCTCATCTCAATCGGCCTACTATTCTATTCTCTAGAGCCTTCTATTTATTTCTCTTATTTCCTACTTTTCCCACCGACATACCTATTATACGGCACCGACAGCGCCGACAGTGGTGTATACAGTGTAATCTGGGCGTAATCCCAAGTGCCAATAGACTTGCGTGCTTATGCGCACTTGTGATTGTAGTATCGGGAAGGGTGTGTTCCCGAAGGTTCGTTTTATCTCGTTTATCCTTGTACTTTCCGAGTATAAATAGGCCTTGTATTCAGTTTTAGTGACAAGTTTCGATTGAGAATTCGATCCTGTGACACTTGGTAATCAGAGCCGTTCTCACTCGACAACTCTCGGCTAAGCAGCGGTCGCGGAAAAAATCGCCTCGAAAAACCGCCGGGGGCGACCAATTCGACGCCGATTTCTGGTAAGTACCAGTTCCGCGCTTTTTGAATTGACCCCCTCGCGTGGTTTTTGAACAGGATGGGTTCGCCGGCAACCAACAACGTTACGCAGCAGCTCTTTGCGCAAATCGCCAAGATGGAAGCGGAGATGCGAGCGACGACTGAACGGTCGGGATTGGAGAACGAGCAGATGCGAAACAAACTACAGCGCGTTACGCGGCTCCTCTCGACCATGAACATTTCCGCTTCGACGACTTCGCAGCAGTCGCAGCGTCAGTTCGAGGTTCCGAAACTTCGCTCGCCGGAATCGTTCGACCCTAGCGATCGAAAATCCGACGTCAGGCGGTGGCTCGCGACGATGGAAATTTATTTCGCGGCGATCAGATGGACGACAACAGAGTACAACGGCGAGAAAATTCGTCTCGCGACAACGTTGATGCGCGGTCCAGCTCTCGAGTGGCTCGGAAGCAACAGTAGCATTTTCCAGGGCGAAGCCACGTGGCAGCAGTTCCGGGCAGACCTTCTCAAACGTTTTGAGCCGATTAATTCCACTTATATTGCGCGCGAAAAATGACATCACCATAGGCAATACAGGAGTGTCGCGCAATACACGCAGCAGATGGAAGAATTTTATAATCGCATTCACGACATTACCGAGGGCGAAAAAATTCAGTCCTACATCGCGAGGCTGAAAACCGACATTCGGCGCTAGGTTGCAGCAGCGAATTGCAGCAGCTACAGCGAAATCGTATCGGCCGCGGAGCGTTTTGACTTGGTCAACTCCGGGACACGACGACCCCACGTCGTCGGATCACGACAAGAGGATCGCTCGGCTTCAACCACGTTCGCCGACCCCATGGAAGTCGACAAATTCGACGCGAGTTTGTCGAGAGTCTAAGTAATTTAAGAGTAGAAACGGGGGCCTAGGCTTAGTAGCCTAGGCCCTAACTTAGGTATCGAGCGGGTTTTCCCCTAGGAGCAATGTCGAGTGAGTTGAGAGGGAAATTGGTGAAAAGGTGGTTTCACTATAGGTTCAGGGGTACATATAGCATAGAAACAAAATAAGGTGCACCACCAACAAAAGTTTACATAACTACACTAACTACAACTACAAGCAATTATAAAACATGACAAAATATTTCGACACGCCCCCATAATGCTTGTAGGTAGGTATGTAGTTACAGCAACAGCAGGTACCCCTACCATCTCCTCACCCTCCTCCTTCCCCTCCCCCACACTGCTGCAGAAGCAGCAGAGAAAGGGGGAAGAGAGGAGAGGTGGAGGGACGGCTGCTTGTTGCCTCACACCCGCCACCCCGGTACCACTCCCCCTCCTCACCCACATCCTCACACCCTCCTCCCCCAGCGGCAGCTGCAGCGGTGGGACTGAAAGAAGGAGGAGGGAAAGGGAGAGAGTTGACCCCACGCTCCAACACCCTCCACCCCCATACCCTCCTCCCCACGGCTGCAGGGAGACAAGAGAAAGGGGGGGGTGGGAAGGAAGAAAGCCGCAGAGCGGCGAAGAGGCGTCGGTGCAGATGGGTCAGGGGCGGCAGCAGGGAGTGCAGGGGCGGAAAGGCCCGTCGCGGGCCAGTGCCACGGGGCGCACGACGGGTAGCATAAAAGGGCCCGATCGTGTGCCTCGGGGCACACGACGAGCAGGGCACCATCGTGTGCCACGGGGCGCACGATGGGCAGTAGAAGGGCACCGTCGCGTGCCACGGGGCGCGCGACGGGCAGGGAAGGAGTCACACGCCCGTGGGCGGGACAATGTAAAAATAAAGTCGTCACGCGCCCTAGGCGCGCGACCGGAAAACCTTAGCAGCGGAAGTGTAAAGTGGGCCCACAGGCCAGGACGAACCTCGCTCTGATACCATGTCGAGAGTCTAAGTAATTTAAGAGTAGAAACGGGGGCCTAGGCTTAGTAGCCTAGGCCCTAACTTAGGTATCGAGCGGGTTTTCCCCTAGGAGCAATGTCGAGTGAGTTGAGAGGGAAATTGGTGAAAAGGTGGTTTCACTATCGGTTCAGGGGTACATATAGCATAGAAACAAAATAAGGTGCACCACCAACAAAAGTTTACATAACTACACTAACTACAACTACAAGCAATTATAAAACATGACAAAATATTTCGACAGAGTTCACGTCCTGCAAAAAACAAAACACTTTGCGAATTTTGCGGCGGAAACGGACATCGGGTTGTCGACTGTTTTCACATGAAATCAACACGTGCGGCATTCCGAGCTCGTGGGAGTGGCGAAACTAAAAACAAAAAGTCAAAAAACGGATCTCGCCAGTGATTGCGGATCGTGCTGGCGAGGAAAAGCAGATCCGAAAGCGTCAGCGCAATCTGGACCGAATCGAAATTGAAGGACAGCATTGGGCGCGAGATTTGGAGAATTAAGGGCGAAATCCCAAGCCCTTTGACCGAAATTTGTCAGAGGAATTCGCCGAGGACAAGAAAACCTCCGCGAAAACAGACTCGACCAAGACGGGAACTCTCCAATTCGACCCCGGAAAAAAACAGAATTCGTTAAAGTTATCTTTCAAAGATGCTTTAATGAAGACTGGCGTTTTTCGCGGGTCCGGAGCCATAAACAAATTCCGGGAAGAGCTCCAGAGGAAGCAGACAATTAAAGAAGTGGTACCGGTGCCTACGGAGCTGGGGAAAAAATTAAGGAGTGTGGAAAGGAGTAGACCTTTTCACGGCGTCAACGTACTCATCCGGAACCAGCCCAAGACGACTCTCCACTCCCCAGGGAAGAAGTCTATGGAGCTGAAGCAGCTGAAGAGGCAGCTGGGAGTTCAAAAGAAGCTGCAGAAACTCCAAAAACCCCTCAAGGATGCATCCAGTGGATCGCAGGCGTCGACCGGATCCACCCCCTCAGGGTCAACTTGTACGGTTACTACCTCTACTCCTGGCATTGGAGAAGAGCCTTTCTCCACGCAGCCCAGGCCAGCTAGTTGTCCAGAAGAAAGCAGTGGAACCACGGTGTGTACTGAATATTGGGATGTACCCTATGATCCTATTAATGAGACTATTTTTGGGTACTCCGAGCAACGCTCACCACTCCTGCTTGAGGTGATCTGCAACGGACAGCGCCTCCAAGCACTCGTGGACAGCGGGGCGTCGCACAGCGTCTATGACAAAAAGGCAATCGATCGACTCGGAAGTGACATCAAGACCTCAAGCTTCTCTGCAACGATGGTGGATGGCAGTAAACTACCTATCTAGGGGGAAACACGGTTGCTACTCCAGATTGGACCCCTTCGATGGAAGCCTGCTCTCCCCGTCACAAATATCAAAGGACTCGACGTAATCTTCGGGAGAGACTTTCTTAAAAAGTTCAACCCCGAGATCAACTGGGTTAACCGGACGGCCAACATCAACAACAACGGGAGGAAAATCAGCCTTCCCAAATGGGACGACATGGGAAATATTCCAGTCGAGACACTCGCACGCTTTGAAAAGGACGTCAAACGGACCACCGCGGGATTCATGGCGATAGTCAACGAGGCAGACAACGGAGAGAAGCAGACCCAGGAACTTCCTCCAGCAGTCAAGAATATTCTTGAAGAGTTCCAGGGCGTTCTCCCTGACGATTTACCTGATCAACTACCGCCATACCGGACACATCAACACGAGATCGTAGAAGAGCCGGGGTCCAAGCCAACATTTCGAGCACCATACCAGCTAAGCCTGACAGAGCTTGCCGATATGAAAAAACAAAAAGAGTATCTCCTGGAGAAAGTGCTGATTCGACCTTCGACTTCGCCGTACGGAGCTCCTGTTCTCTTCATTCCGAAGCCAGATGGAAGTCTGCGAATGTGCATCGACTACCGAGCCTTGAACAAGCAGATTGTAAAAAATAAATACCCGATACCACGGATCGACGACTTACTTGATCAACTTCGCGGTGCTACGGTATTCTCCAAGCTCGACCTCAGATCGGGATACTGGCAAATTCGTATGGCGGACAACTCTATCCACAAAACCGCTTTTCGAACTCGGTACAGGTCATACGAGTATCTCGTGATGCCATTCGGACTCACTAACGCACCAGCCACATTTCAGGCAGAAATGAACCACATCCTTCGGCCCCTTTTGGACGAGTGCGTGGTGGTATATTTGGACGATATCTTGATCTACTCAAAAGATATGAAGAAGCACGTTGAGCATCTACGACGGGTGTTTGAAATTCTTTGACGAGAACGCTTCTACGTAAAACTATCCAAGAGCGAGTTTGCGT